AGTGGGAAATCAAGACGTAAAGCACTGGTTTCCTTAATTTATGTATAATATTTGGAAACAGCACTGAGTGTGAAGTGAAGATCTAAGGAGGTGTAACAGGATTACTGATATCAAAGCCCATTCTTCCAAAGGGCTGCTGGGAAAGGAACAATCCTTCTCATGGGACATAAACCCTGGCACTGGGATTTTCATTGCTGTTGATTTTCAGTTACTACAAATGTCTAATCATTCTCTAGGGTACTTTTTGTTGTGAAGAGAACTCAGGGACAGCAGAACTGAGAGGTGGGGAGGCTCTAAGGAGAAAAAGAAACTTCTTTAAGAAAGGGAATCATGGTGTGGCCAGTGGTAACTCTTCTGTACATAATTAAGGAAGCTAACCACTGGCTCTTACTTATCTAAAGATAAAATATAAGCTTCATTCAACAAATATTTTTAAATGCCAGGTAATGCCAGGGCATCACAGGCCCCTCCATGCTCCTATTGATGTTCCCAGCCTCATCATACCATGCAATCCAACTCTCTGTCTTAATTTTTTTGGTTTTAATTCCCTCAATTGTAATCTTCTGGACTTTGCTTTTGACCTTCCTTCTGTTTAGAATTCTGTTATTTGCCTAAGTTTCATTTATCTTCTAAGATTCAGGTCAGAGATACCTTCTCAAGAAATCTCCCTGAATTCTAAGGCAGATGAAGTACCTCTCCTCTTTGCTTCCATAGCATGTTACACTATATGGATCTATTTATATTGTCTTATCTTCCCTACTAGACTGTGAACATGTCAAGGGCAGGAAACCTCTACATCCTAGGTCCTTAATAGGCATATGATACATATTCATGGCCTTCAACTCAATGAACATCCCTAATAGTTAAGGGCAAGGGAGAAGATCATAAAACTGATCAACCCACTGTCAGAAGTCGAAACTCTGTCACAATATACTTAAACACAAGAACTTAGAATACCTGTTTCACTGAAGTTGGAGCTCTGCTTTGAACAGTATTGTAAATTCCTCATGAAAAAGGCAGAAAAAACTGTGAGTACTCTCACCAAGTGCTCTCAAATGAAATCAGTCTGAAGCAGTTTTCATTAAGATGGATTGAATGTGGCATCGTGAGAAACACTTTATCAAATGTAGTGTTTTACTTAGTGATTAACTATATACCAGTTGATGAAGCTCCCCAAATCCTTTGTAATCCCACCACTCCAATAAACATTTAATGAGTATATAAGTTCAAAAAGCCTAGCAGAGGATTTAAACCTTCAATCTTGTTTTTATTTACTCATGGAACTCAATTTCTCACTTCAAGTGAAGAATGCTGGTGCTCAAGGCTCATCTGTTGCCCTGGTAAAATTAATGTGCCTCCCACAGTTTAAATTAAACATGCGATGTTTAAGATGAAAGAAATTTAGTAACAATGGCAGAGTATCGGTCATTCTTGCCTTAAAATATTTGAACATCATCACACTGTTCTCTTAAAAATGATTCATTCAGAAGTTTAAAAAAAATATTGAAAAGGATTTGTTTTCACTCTCAAATGTACAGTCTGAAAAGGAGAGATGAAGTTTGAGGATTGAATCCTGTAGCATAGCAGTTAGCACTGAAAAGCTTCTGGAAGTAAGGTGGGTATAGTGTAAAACACACTTATATGTGTTGGAACACCTGCACTCTCATTTGGCCTCCACTACTTACCCTTGATTTGTCTTTGGTTAAGTCATGTAGCTTTTCTGAGCTTCCTCATCTCTACAATGAGAATATTGATATTATATATCCCCATCTCACCAGTTTGCTGTGGGGCTCAAATGAGATATGCACAGGAAGAAGCTTCATAAAACCATAGAGCACAATATAAATCTAAAGTAGCAGTGCTATTTCTATTCTTTCTATACAATCCTCTCTAATTTTGAAAGGAGATGTATATAATTTGGTTGATGACTATAATAAATGTCCCTGCTTAGAACTAATTTTGAATAATTTACCTATTCTGTGGATGAATTTTACTTAAGTTTAGGGCAATGTAATAAATGATACATAAACTGTTGTTGATCTTTAACTTGGGAAAGAGAAAAAAGGAAAGAAAAAAGCCCTGGACAAGGGGAAGAAGATAAAGACAGTTTAGGAGTCCAAAGAGGTCAGTGGATTTGGGTATCAATCTAATATGAAACAGAACACATGAACCAATGATTTCCAGTTGTTAAAATACCAACACACTCATCAAAAGCAAACAGTCAATTGTTTCATTAGAAATACCCAGAAGTTAATAAGAGTTTACGCTCCTCTGGGAATCATCAGTCTGAATAAATCCAAATGCCAATTTACTATACAAAGACACTCAATAAAAAGTTCTTTCGTCTATTATATACTGTATATTTAAACAATGTATCGTCACAAAGTTATAATGTTTACAGTAGCTTTTTAAATGGAATTTAAAAGATGTCTATGCTTATTTGGGAGCTATATTTAGGTTATAAAAGGCCCTCACATCTTCTGGTTACTTCAACTGCTTAGCAATCTTACTGGAAAAGCAGAGACGAATTAATCCCAAATACATTCTTATCCAGGAATGAACTGAAAAATAGATTATTTTAAAGCTATAATTACTCTTTCAAACATATTTATGTTCAACAATAAGTGACTGTTTAAATATAATAACATTGCTGTACAATGAGAGACTTAATAACCATTAGAAATCCTGTTATAATAAAGTACTCAGCATTACTTACAAAGCATTCTTGCAACAACAACAACAAAAAATTGACCTGAATCTAACAAAGCTTTTAGACTTAACAGCCATTTCTCAGGAAATAAAGAGATAAAGGAACAAGTTAAATCGTATCACAAGGAAACAATCACACAAATCCAGAATCTGGAACAATCTGTAAGTCATCCAGCATGATTTCTTCACAAAGCAAATGTCATAAAAGGGGGTGGGTGGGGGAAAAAAGCAGGTGTCTGCTTAAAAGGGTTTAAGAAATCTAACAACCAAATGTAATTTGTGAACCTTGAGTGGATCACGGTTTCCAAAAAAAGAGTCAACTGGTGAACTTTGAATATCCACTGGATACTAGATGACATTAGGAAATTATTGTTCGTATGTAACATGTGACAATGGTATTGTGATTCTGTAGGGGAATGTCATTATTTTTGGAAAGTGCATGCAGATGTTTTTAGGGGTAAAATATGATGTCTGTGATTCACTTTGAAATGGCTTAGCAAAAACATAATGAATATATAAGAGTATCCTAAATGTTTTATGCAGTTTAAGTTTTAATAATTTCAAAAGTTTAATTGCTAAAGCTCCATTAAAACTTTGGGATGCCCTGTATATAGAAGAAGCAAATATGGCAAAATTTTAGTAATTGTTAAATCTAGGTATAGGGGATTTAAGTGTTTATTGTACTACTCCTTTAGTTTTTCTGTATTAAAAATTGTTTTAATAAAAGTTAAAATATTATAAAATATAATTAAGTAAATGATCATATAATATTAAAAGGTGAAGATAAGCTGTTTTAACAGGATTATAACATGACCAATTTTATATTAAATATGCATGTGTGCTGAATGAAATAAATATATGGAAAGAACATATAAAGTTAATCTGTGTTAGAATATATTCTTTTAGCTTTTCAGTATCTTCCATAAAGCTGTACTTATGGAAACTATAAACCTGTATTACCATAAATATATATTTCTTCAAAAATAAAATCCATTTAATATAGATTTAATAGTAAAAAATAGATGTTTAAAATTGCCTTTACAATGGGCTATTCCACTATTCTTAGGGTAGAGAACAGTTTATGTTTCTTAATCTACTTCATTGAACTCTCAATGATAGATCTAAGCTTGATCACTAATTATTGTCTTGGAATTCAATTTTTAAAAACTGTTTAAAATGAATTTTTCTTTAGGTCAGAGTTTAACATAAGTAGAAACTAGAAATTTCAGAGGCATCCTTGCACTCTCTTCTCAAAATTCTTTGTCCTCTTTAATTCCAATAACTTTCCCTCTAACTCCATCTACACCTTATTCCTTCCTTCCTCTCTCTTTTTTCCTTCATTCATTAAACATACAGAGTATTTACTATGTGTAGGGATGTAAGGTACATCGTCACTGCCAAAAAGAAAATCAAATCTCTTGAGAAGACATATATATAAAAGAGAGAGAACGGATAATTAAAAGCAATGTGTTATCATTGCAAAGTACTAAAGGGTGGGTGTGGAAGAGTAGGAGTCAACCAGGTAAAAAGCAGGTAGAAAGGTATTCCTGACAGTGGGGCAGCATGAAAAAAGAGTTAGATTATGGGGAAGTACAAATTGTACACTACTGCTAGATTTATTAAGTGTAAGGCAGGAAATGGGAAGAGCTGAAGTTGTACAGATATGCAGGAGCCAGATAACTGGGGTCTCGACTACAGTGTCAACATATAAATAGAGCACCCACACAGAATCTTCGTGCTCAAAATGTAACTTCTGATTTCTTGTTACATACTTGGATCTACTTGATTTCAAGATCACAAGATCTTGTGATCTACTTGATTTCAAGATCACAAGATCCATTTCTATATTTAAGGAAAAATCTTTTTGTTGTCTAAAATGACTTTTAGGAAAAAATACTACAGTTATAAGATATATACTATTAGATGGAATAATCATTTGGGAAAAAGACTGAAGGACTAATCATTTAGCAAGAAACTGTCGATCACATAACTGAAAAGAATATGAACACGTAGCCTGGTCCGTTCTAAGCATGTCCACCCCTTTCTCCCCCTAAAAAAAAACAAACCCCGTTTCAGAGCTTGACAAAGACTTCTGCAAAAGCCAGCAGTACCCTATTATACTACTGCCCCTCTGAAATGGGCATCTTGGTGATGATTAGGTTGGTAGATGAACCAGAAACAAAATCAAGTCTTCAATCTGAAAAAAACAGAAAACATCAAGCATTGCCTCAGGCCTGGTGGTAAACCTATGGGATATACTTTTTAATCAGAAAAGGTAAGATTCCACTTACATCTCGGGCTTTCACATAGAAGGCCTCTTGAAAAGTTGCTTCTAATGAGCCAATAAAAAATACAGGATGGCAGTCACCATATCTATAGGAAAAATTGTGTCTATTAATTAAAATACATTTCAAATTTACTTCAAATTTCACAAGTCTAACCAATGAGTTTTAAGTAAATGTTGGGGCTAATGTCTCTGAAGTATAGACAAAACATTAAAACATTTCTTTAAAGGGTTAGGAATGGGCTTCATTAGTTTTTTGAACTCTTCTTGGCCTATACCGATATATCAGAATACTGGAATTTTAAGTACATCTAGCAAATGGACTTAATGAGTGCTATGAAACCATGCCATTTACAAGTAGCAATTCCTGGTTACCCACTTCAATAAGATTTTCCTAGTTACAATAGCCTTAACTTTCCATTTTAGTTCATTTGTTCTCTAACACAGAGGGAAAAAATGGTTCCTTGCTAAGTTTCCAAATTACATTACATCAGAAAATAGAACTAAAGAGAAATATTGTTTACATGAAAATTTAGGTTTAAATCTTTTTAAACACCTCTAGGCGAATCTCAAATGCATAGAACATTTTATATTACACTATTAAAAGAAGAAATGCTAAATGATTCCAAAACAAAAATTAAAAGAAAAAATTCACTTATATCTAAAATTTTTAAATTATTTTTTTATTCAATATTACTTTTAAAAGATTTTGTTTGTCCTAGGATATACTAAAACTTAGTATCCTATGACCTAGTCCTTTTGGAAATATAGTCAAGATATTAAATTAGTAATCCATTTATTATGCTTCTATAAAGATATAGAGATAAGATAAATACATCTCTGAAGCGGCACAGTTTACTAGTTATCTGACTTGAATACTCTGTATTCACTATTAGGACTATATATATTGATAAATGTATCCTTTGAATACTTTAAGAAGAAAGTGAAAACAATCTATGATTAAAGTTGCTCCAGAAAAATCACAGTAGCATTAAAAGAACATCAATTTTATATAGTTAATGTCCTAACCCTACCTTGAAGAAAACTCTGCTGTAAATTGTAATAAGGCATCTCCTTCATTTTCTGCGTTTTCTGGCACTAAAAAACAAACAAAAGAAAAAACAAAAACAAAAAACCAAAACAAATAGACACAGAAAACAAACCACATAACATCTAATCCCACATATAAGAAATATATTTAATCAATAAAGAGGAATTAAATTTTAGTTTCTGTGATATATCTGAGGAGACATTTTAACTCAACATACGTTAGAAGATTTCATCAAACCTTAAAAAAGAACCTCAAAAAAATTTCAAGCTCATAAGTTTTTGAAAACCAACTGATACAATCCTGCTAGGTGCTGAAAATATGTGCCAGTCATCAATTATGCTTGAAATGACATCTTGTGATTAAATTATATAAAAAGTTCTCAAATTATTCTAAAGATCTTATTAATCAGGAAAATAGTCATTTTATGTAAATATCACATCTATTTCTGCCCATGAATGTCCCCTAATTTCACAGAGTAAATGAGCCATTTATGGACTTATTTTAATAGTCATTTTGTATACAGCACCACTTATGATCTCGTCAGGTGCAAGTGAGGGAGATGGCACATTTAGTTTACTTCTTTCCTTCCAAAGATGGGTACCAGTGAATGGAAAAGTAATATAACTACTGATAAAACTGATATCTCCAATAAGATGTGTGGTGACAAGTACAGTCACAAAAAGTACAGCTATTTTGTTTATCAATTTCTGGGTTTAAAGTAAAGAGATAAACTCATAACTAATTACACATGTGAAACAAAAGTTACATTCCCTTGAGTTTTTAATGAATTTTACTAAAGTATTGGGAATGGTTGGGCTTAAGATCAAAATTCAAGAGGCTCTAGTTCCTATGAATAATGTCTACTTCCTATATTTTCTCTCTCCAAACCTGAAAGTCAGTAAGAGATTTTTAAGTTCATTGTTCCTCGTAAGTTTCTGCACTAGGAGGGAGAATTACAATGCTGGACCCAAAGAGCTATTAATACTCACTCATTGGAGATTTCCTCAAGGCAGATGAAGCCATGCCGAATACCTCTCCATCATCCACCCCAAATTCGGAAGCATCTTCAAAGTCATCTCCATCACTATCACTAACCATATGAACATCGGTGCTTTGCTATTTAAGGAAAATCCTATGATTAGTTTCATACTGACTTTAGGAAATCAAATTCCAAAATATAAATTATGTAATTACAATAGGACATTAGCATTATAAAAGTTTTATTAAATAAGAAGCTATTTGCTAGAGTGAAGCTTAATATTTCTCATTTTAAGGCTTACATATATTTCTAATCTTGCTGTGATACCCCTAGACTAAAGGCTGGAGCCTGAGTGAAAAAGAAGAATGCTTACAAACTCAATGAAGGCTGGGATTTTTATCTGTTTTACCCCCAGCCTATGGTATACAATTAGGTGCTCAAGAAATATTTGCTCAATAAATGAAGAACTGGGTACAATCTAAGAGGTCAGAGATAAGCTATACGAGTCTTTCAAAAAGCTCATGGTAGTCTAAACTTTTGGGCAGAAGTAATGGTAGCATTTAAAAATTTGCCTCTTCCCTACTGCAATGGTTCTCAAATTTCTCATTAGTGAAATATGGTACACTATCCCCATGTGTTATTGGAAGATAACATGAAATACACTATATACGAAAGCTCTTTGTAAACTGAAGGCCATTAAATATGAGACGTAATAATGATGCTTCAATTCAATAAACACTTACTGAGAATTTACTACACGCTGGGCACTGATAAATATGCTCCATTTATTTTGTTTTCAGCAACATCCGTTGAGATACAAGGTAGTACAATGAAAAACATCAGTTTCAAAATACGAACTTGGCTCCTGATCTCTAAGTTAGAATGGGATTTCAAAAATACTGAGATTTCAAACATTTGAACTGAGTTGTGAATACTGACAAATATTAATGTCTTGGATATGAAGGGGCTCCCAGCAAGGTAACTGGCTAAGTGCCTATCTGTACCACGTTTAATAAATAAAGTCTACAAAGACCATTGAATAAATGAAATTTCTATCTTTCAAAATATGTTGCTATGTACCTAAATTATGAAAATGCATTAAAAGAAACTCAGAATCAAAAACTCATGAAACTTGGCTAGAGAGGATGTTAGAGTTCAGTCAGTCATAGAATCGTAGATTTTAAAGCTGGAAGGGATTTTAAAGATCTCTCACTAATGGTTTTCAAATTTCTTTTCACAGAGTTACCTCCCTCCCCTAGCACCAAGCAAAATATTATGTAAAATTATAGTGCATACAATAGATAAAAGTAAGGCCACTCTGGCTGATGTAGAGAGAGAGCAACAAGTAGCCTAATGCTCCTGGCCTTGGCCTTTTCTTCCTCACATCCCTTTGATAGCTGGGGTACCTCTGAAGGCTCTCAGGACACTACGGAACAATTTTTAAAACTACTAATCTAGTGAGTCTAACAGCTCCAAATAAGGAAGGCAAGATATTTACTCCATATGACTCAGCAGGCTTAGCATTTCCTCCTTGGGCATAACCAAGCATTAATGCCCATAATTGTTAACGTTTTCCCTCTTACCTTAAAGACAGTTTTCCCAATGGTTTGAATAAAGAAGGAAATGTACATATACTTACTAGATGAATAAAAATGAATGGTCCTTGCCCTAAGCACCTATCTGCTATTCTGACTATACCACTATTTCTCACAGAAGCCTTGGTTCTACTTGTACTCCTAATGCTACTTTAGTGTTTTGCTTTGTAGAGCCAAGACCTCCTCTTGATTTCAGCAATTCAACAGCATAAAAATTCAAAACCCTTTCTCATTTCAAAACAGTGAAGGAGTCTCCCCTTCAAAATAACACATTTACTAGGACTATAACTGTACTTGAATTCCATATGTTTCAGGTAGGCAAATACCTGGAGCATAAACTTCCCTTGAATTCTTAAATGGGTAAAGGCTCAGGATCTAAAAGGTACACCACACATTCCTTTAGGGTGCTTAGCCAGGTTTGCAGGCAAGTGGAAAGAAACAAAAGTCCCGTATGACAAACTTTCTCACATCTTCTGTCAGCTAGGCTATCATCTCAGCCTTCACTTAGTCTTGCCTAGTATTCACCCTCCCTTAAAGAGGCATTAGATTAAGAAGGAGGTTTGGAGGACACAGGGATGAAAAAGAAAGGAACTGTTGTATATATCATCTTTTTTTTCTCATTGCTTTTACCTTACTCCTCCACATCTATCCTTTCTTCTAATCCAGCTTTCAGTCAAATAATAGCCCCTTTCCATAATAAGAGGACTAGGACAGTGATTTTAATTTTGTGCCTATGTAACACATTATTTTGTCTTCACAAAGTACAGAATTCCCAACTCTCTTAAGATCCCAGAAAACAAAATCCTACAACAACATCTTCAAAGGGAGGTATCTAAAAAGCCGATTTTGTCGAAAAAAGTATATTTTGAATATGAATTATTGAAGTATCTGCAAGAATGAGCTACTTAATTATGTATAAGGAACTCCCAATCTCTTTCTTATCAGCCATCTAACAGGTTAGGAAAATCTTTTTCTAAAAAATGAGATAAACAATCGTTTTTCATTAATGTTTGCTGATGAGAATAGATAATCTCTTGGTTCAGTCATGGTTGCTCTAAAATTCTTTGAAACCAGAGAAGCTATTTATTCAAATTTTTTAAAAAAGGTAAACAAATTAGTGATTCTATTTTGGCTCTCTATTGCATTCATTTATTCCCTTTAACATTTACCATACATTCATAAACCCTACTAAATGCTACATTGCCTGGACTTGAGTGAAAGATATACAGTGTATGTTCTCTCAAGGAATACAATATAATATATAGATAGATAATTATAATACCTAACAATAAATGTTATGACAGGTAAATTCAGAGGAGAGCACCTAAATTATTGGGAGTGGGAGGAATCAGGGCAAACTTCTTAGAAAAGATGATAACCAAACTGCTTGAGAGAAAAATTTAGAACTCATACATGCATAAGACAAGCTTATAATTGAAGCTGATATTTCTTTCACCAACTACTTAACTATGTCAAAGAACCAGGTTAAAAGCTTGGGATACAGAGAGAAAACATGGTTCTAAATTTCAAGAAATTCCCATTTTAAAGGAAGCTATATTTAGTTGCAAATATGTCTTTTCCAGTGTGTTAAGAGATAAAATAAAAGT